ATTTTTAAATTTTTTTTCCCCCCTGGGGTCTGGCACTTGGCGGATGAGTATATCCTCCTGAGTGGTTGCTGTCTACCAACCTACTACCTTGATTTACCAAAGTATTATTATTGTTTTTTCCTTTTCAGACAAAGTGTGGGTTTTAGCGGACGCACACTGCGGAAGATCCCCTTTCTTGCACATGCTCTTCATGCTGACTCACCTGTGGTCTCATTACCCAGATTCCTAAGTGCTATGCAGATGGCTGTTTTAAAACAGAAAGAAGATAAATTACAAATATCTGTACCTGATAGTTGTTAGAATTTTTTAGTTCTTATAGGATATATTTTATATATAATCAAGATAATGGTAACAACATAAGAATTTATAATTATTTAGATTCCCTCTTTTATGTATATACTGTGTAATGTATTTTGTAATTTATACACAAGAATGCATTTATATCACATAACAATTATGTATACTCTTTTTAGGTTTTTCATTCTTTTTGGGTCATCCTGCCTAGGTGGGAAATGGCCAATATGTTAAAACAAAAATTAATACATATTTATGTTGTATAGTATTGATTAACTTTTTCTTATTTATTTGTAATTGTAATAGTGGCCAGGTGTTTTTAGTATGTTTTGCATTTTCATTCAACTGTCAAAATAACTAATTTTTTATTTGATTTCACACACACACTCTGACTATGGAAGTTTCTTTTTATGTGACATTAAACTGTGAATAGCTGTATGCTTCTTATTCAACCAAAATTTCAATTATAATCCTCATATGTTTATTGAGTATACCAGGAAAAGTGTACGGTAGGGTTATAATTGAAAGAATTAGAGGTAAAGACAGAATGTAGGATTGCAGATGAGCAAGGAGGTTTCAGAGTGGGTAGGGGATGTGTAGATCAAGTGTTTACATTGAAGCATATATGTGAACAGTATTTAGATAAAGGTAGGGAAGTTTTTATTGCATTTATGGATTTAGAAAAGGCATATGATAGAGTGGATAGGGGAGCAATGTGGCAGATGTTGCAAGTATATGGAATAGGTGGTAAGTTACTAAATGCTGTAAAGAGTTTTTATGAGGATAGTGAGGCTCAGGTTAGGGTGTGTAGAAGAGAGGGAGACTACTTCCCGGTAAAAGTAGGTCTTAGACAGGGACGTGTAATGTCACCATGGTTGTTTAATATATTTATAGATGGGGTTGTAAAAGAAGTAAATGCTAGGGTGTTCGGGAGAGGGGTGGAATTAAATTATGGGGAATCAAATTCAAAATGGGAATTAACACAGTTACTTTTTGCTGATGATACTGTGCTTATGGGAGATTCTAAAGAAAAATTGCAAAGGTTAGTGGATGAGTTTGGGAATGTTTTGTAAAGGTAGAAAGTTGAAAGTGAACATAGAAAAGAGTAAGGTGATAAGGGTATCAAATGATTTAGATAAAGAAAAATTGGATATCAAATTGGGGAGGAGGAGTATGGAAGAAGTGAATGTTTTCAGATACTTGGGAGTTGACGTGTCAGCGGATGGATTTATGAAGGATGAGGTTAATCATAGAATTGATGAGGGAAAAAAGGTGAGTGGTGCATTGAGGTATTTGTGGAGTCAAAAAATGTTATCTATGGAGGCAAAGAAGGGAATGTATGAAAGTATAGTAGTACCAACACTCTTATATGGGTGTGAAGCTTGGGTGGTAAATGCAGCAGCGAGGAGACGTTGGAGGCAGTGGAGATGTCCTGTCTAAGGGCAATGTGTGGTGTAAATATTATGCAGAAAATTCGGAGTGTGGAAATTGGGAAATGGTGTGGAGTTAATAAAGTATTATTCAGAGGGCCAGAAGTGGGTTGTTGAGTGGTTTGGTCATTTAGAGAGAATGGATCAAAGTAGAATGAAATGGAGAGAATATAAATTCTATAGGGGAAGGAGGCGAGGTAGGGGTCGTCCTCGAAAGGTTGGAGAGAGGGGGTGGGTAATGAAGGTTTTGTGGCAAGGGGCTTGACTTCCAGGCAAGGTGCAGGTGAGCGTGTTAGATAGGAGTGAATGGAGACGAAATGGTACTTGGGACCTGTCGATTCTGTTGGAGTGTTGGTAGGCAGGGTAATTATTTAGTGAAAGGGCGGTTCAGGCGAAAACGAGTTATTTTCATATAGTCGGACTTGAGTCTAGGAAATGGGAAGTAACATTGCTGCCACTTTAAAGGAGGGAGTTTGGGATATTGGCAGTTGCAGTTTGGAGGGATATGTTGTGTATCTTTATATGTATTGCTTCTATGCCGTTGTATTCTGAGCAACTCTGCAAAAACAGTGATTATGTGTGAGTGTGGTTGATATGTGTTATGATGGATTGAAAGCATTTTCTTTTTGGGAATATTTCCTTTTTTTTTGGGTCACCCTTCTGTCTCGGTGGGATGGGAAGGCCGTGCCCGACTTGTTTTGAAAAAAAAAAATATTATGTAATAAGTTTTTCCGATGGCACCTTGTCTAGTTATATTTTTATATTTCTGTTCTTAACACAGGTATTCTCTAATACTAACATTTTTTTTTTATTAAACTAGTCGGCCATCTCATCGAGGGCAGGGTGACCCAAAAAGAAAGAAAATCCCCAAAGAAATATAACTTATCTTCATTCACACTTTCACACTCATCATACAAATCACTGTTTTTGCAGAGGCACCGATACAACTGTTTGGAAGCATATATAAAGAAGATTAAATATACAGAGGACCCTCTCCTAACGGACGGCTATCGCATTACGTTTTAAATCCGCCTAGCGATATCTTTTTTAAGCTAAAAATTTTGCTTCGGTCTAGCGCTAAAAAAACTCGCTCAATGCGTTTCGTTTGAGGACGCGTCGCTGTATACATCCTCCAGGTTTAGCGCTTCCACCTTGATCATAAGATATGTTGAGACGCGTCCACGCGCGGCCTCGAGCCTTGCCTTACTTGTTCCGTGGGTGCCAGTGTTTACAGCCAGCCACCGCAGTCGCTTCCAAGCTACAATCGGAAACATTCATATTATCACAGCCTTTTTTGTGATGGCACCTGCAAAATAGCACATGGGCCCCAAGAAAGCTTCTAGAACGCCAACACCCCTACAGGGAAAAAGGGTGAGAATACTATGGATATGAAGAAAGAGATTCATTGTATGTATGAAAGTGGGGTGGGTGTCTCCGAGCTGCAGGTTGTACACAAAAACCCCAAATAACCATCGCTTTACTGTGGCAAAGAAAACGGCAATCAAAGGAAACTGTTCTTGCCAATGGTGCATCTTTGTTTCGGAAGAGATCGCAAGTGATAGAAGATGTTGAGAGACTGTTATTGGTGTGGATTAAACAAAAACAGATTGAGGTGATAGCATCTCTCAAGCGATCATATGTGAAAAGGCTAGGAAGTTGCATGAGGATTTAATTAGAAAAATGCCTGCAACTAGTGGTGATGTGAGTGAACACAAGTGTTAGCTTTGTTGACACTAATGCTCTTTTTTATCAAATTAGAGAAGAGAAATTTTTTATTAACACTTTCCCCTGCCAAAACGCTTACCCTTCTTGCCTTCACAGACCATCTTGTTGAAGCATCACTTATACACAACTTTTCTAATGTGAATCCAGTCCTGGCTGTCTCTGTAGATGCCTTCTTTTCTCATTACATTGTCAAATGCTCCAAACTTCTGAACACTCATGACTCAATTTGATCTGTATCTTTTCTTTTAATAAATTTTCTTTTCCCTTTCCTGTCTTGTGCTTAGGTGGGTTTTTGTCTCACTGGGTTTTTGTTCAACTCTCGTGGGCCATTATCTCTGCTGCAGTGCTCCTCTTTTCTTTTGTTCTTAGATTGTCTCCACTTTTCTACTACTGCTAGTCTCCCCCCTCTGACCCTTTATTCACTACCACCACCTTTTATTGCCACCTCTATCACTTTTGCACTAGTTTTTTTTACTTTTACCACTTCAATACTCTTCCCTCCTCTTTTTACATAGTACAGTACTATCCCCACCATCTTCTCTCACTATATGACCTCTATGGATTTAGTGCTTCCCCTGATTAAAATAAACAAGCTTGACTAACTGGTTTCCCCTTGACTTCCCTTTTTAAAGTCACCTTGCTCACACTCCAACAGCATGTGAAGCCAGAAAAGCCACTTGTCTCCATTCACTCCAATTTAACATCCTCACACAAGCCTGCTGAATGCTCATGGCCCCTAGCACTTTAAAAAAACCTTTAACCCCTCCCTCCAACCCTTTCTTTGATGGCCCATATCCCTCTTCATTCCTTCCACCCCTGAATTGTACATCTTGTTATCCCCATTCTACTTTAACTTCTCTAATGCCAAGACCACTTCTACAATTTCTCTGCAGTTTTACTGGGAAATTACACTTATGTAGCCTCACACCGAATCTAATTTATACACTGAATTTCTGCACAATATTTGCCCCACACATTGCTATTTAACATGATATTTCTACTGTCTCCGCCTCCTTGTTGCGATGTTAAATCCCATGCCTCAAAACCATGTAAAAGTATTGGTACTAATACACATTTGGCACATTTTCCTTGTTTTTAACACTGGCCATCTTCCACCAAGGAGGGTGACCCAAAAAAAAGAAGAAACACTTTCACCATTGATTCAGTCACTGTCTTGCCGGAAGGAAGTGTTTTGATATTATAGTTTAGATGACTCCCCAAAAATTACAACACCTCACCTCTCCAGAGTGAAGGTACTGTACTTCCCACCTCTTGACTCTAGTCTGGCTAACTGGCTCCCTGAATCCCTTTATAAATATTACCTTGCTCACACTCAAACACCATGTCAAATTATAAAAAACTGCTTGCCTCCACTCACTTTTATTTTTGTTTTTAAACAAGTTGGTCATCTCCCACCAAGGCAAGGTGACCCAAAAAGAAAGAAAATCCCCAAAAAAAAAATACTTTCATCATCATTCAACACTTTCACCTCACTCATACATAACCTCTGCAAAAACAGTGATTATGTGTAAGTGAGGTGAAAGTGTTGAATGATGATGAAAGTATTTTCTTTTTGGGGATTTTCTTTCTTTTTGAGTCGCCCTGCCTTGGTGGGAGACGGCCGACTTGTTAAAAAAAAAAAAAAAGCCTGTTGTATGTCTAAACCTCTCTCACACAAAACCTCTACTGCCTCCCTCCAACCTTTCTTAGGGTGACCCCTACCTGCTTCTTCCCTACTTCTCAGATTTATTTTCATTATTGCCTCCATAAATAAACCTCTTTCTTTACACACATTCCTGAAAAAACCACAAATTTATAGCGATAATAATCTAATAATAACAAAGGTTGAATTAGTAGGTTGGTAGACAGCAGCCACCCAGTGAGGTACTACCGTCCTGCCAAGTGAGTGTAAAACGAAAGCCTGTAATTATTTTACATGATGGTAGGATTGCTGGTGTTTTTTTCTGTCTCATGCAAGATTTCAGGTACATCTTACTACTACTTCTTACACTTAGGCCACACTACACATACACGTTTATGTATACACACTCATCTGAGTTTTCTTTGATTTTATCTTAATAGTTCTTGTTCTTATTGCTTTTCCTTTTATATGCATGGGGAAGTAGAATAAGAATCTTTCCTCCGTAAGCCATGCGTGTTGTAAAAGTCAACTAAAATGCCGGGAACGATGGGCTAGTAACCCCTTTTCCTGTATAGCCTACTAAAAAGAAAAAGAAGAAAACCATCAA